CCAAGCAAAAAGTTCATTTCGAGAAACATTCAGTGCAATCTTCCCCGCCATTGAATCATACAAATCTATTCGGATAATCTTCTTCCGTCGCATAAAACGACAAAAAACTATTTTCTTTATATTTTTTTTACCATCTCTAACTATGATCAGTCTTATTACCAACTAACTGCTATTACCGTCAGTTTTTTTCTTTTCGCATATGTTTAATTCCTGGCATATATACAATGTATTAATCATATAATTTTGGCGCACTTGACAAACCAAATCTAAATATTTTGCGCCCAAATTTCATATAATTCAATCAATGCTACGCCTAGGAATGGCAAATGTTTTTTATCGTTATGAAATTAAAAACAGGTGATGATTATGATCTTGGATATATTTAAATCCATATTTAACTATTCAGACTTTAATCATCGCCTGTTTTAAACAGGTGAAAAACAGTTTAAACCTTCTTTTTTTTTTTTTTTTTTTTTTTTTTTTTTTTTTTACCATCCCTAGCTACGCTCAAAAAAATTTTTAACTACTGATCTATATCGATAACATCTAATGCTACTAAGTAACTAGTGAATTGGATGTCGGTAAATGGACTGTCTATAAGATTGGCTGTTGGAAAGTGCATTCGGGAAAACATTATGTCGGAAAAAGTTCCTATCCGAAATATGGTATGTCGGAGAAAAGAAATATGTGATGTCGGAAACATGTACTGTAGTGTTTCGGGCGAATCTGAAATATTTTGCCCGAGCAAAATGATTTCACGCTAGCGAAATATTTCGGACATCAAAAAATGCAAAAATACTATATATTTTGCGGGTTAACTCGAAATTATTTCGCTCCGGTGAAAATTTTCGGATTTTGAAAATTACTTTAGCCCGAAACACTGGGTATATATTTTATAAATAAAATGAGCTGTTATTGAAATGTCCTGTCGGCAATACGGTGTCGGGAACTAACTATGAGCAACAACGCGCCAAACATAACACCCCAATATACAATATAGAATTTCGGAGATTATAAAAATTGCAATTAATTGACAATATGCGGCTTGACATCAATTAATTAATTGTAGTCAAAATAATTGCAATTAATTGCTCCACAATCAATTATTCGGTACTCCTGGTTCGATGTACTGCACAGTATCGCTAAGAATGACGAAATTATTGATTCAGATAGTTAATCACTCGACCAATTTTTAAACAAGAAAATTATGAATACTGTTGCACTGGTAGAAAAGTGGTATTTTTTATAGATAATATATTATTAAAATATGGTAATTATATTTAAATATTGTCTATTACCCAGTAATTAAGTAAAGATTTGTACTATATTTTACAATATATTTCCTAGTAAAAATTTAATTTTTTGACCAGTGTAGTTTGAATGGGTGGTTTGGCGTTCCAATTGAATTGAGATTATATGAATTCTGGAAGACTAGTTGTTTTGATTGAGGTTGAATCAGATGGGTTCTGATGAATTGGGAGGGTTGGACAGGTTCTGAATCTGATTCCGCGTGGTGGAGCCACGAATATATGCTAGTCATTAGTGCTAGAAAAAATAAACCGACTAGTTTTTTTTTTTTTACCTGGTTTAAATAACTACTTGTATAATGCAATTTATATTAAGAACTTCTTAAAGTTTTTTTTTTTTTTTTTTACAATATTTGAACCAATAAATATATATATTAATCTAGCCCGATAAATGTAATTTATTGTTATATACTTGCATACATATGAAAAGAAGATTACTGGTACTTTAAGGATTAAAAATCATAAATGATGTGGAAATGGTCATCAGCAAGTGATCAGGTTCGATTCTGGTAGATTTGAAAGCAACAATACAATATTGTACATCCGTTTGTTTTATTTTTATAATAGACTAATTAACTAGTATAATTTTTTTTATGACTCATACTAACAAGCAATCAAGAATGAAATTTACCTGCATTGGTCAATTTTCAATTTAAATTACGTTAATTTGTTAAATTCACATTTTACATCGTGTCAATTCGTCCAATTGCAATTTTGAATGGCTTCTACCACAAGTGCTGAAAGTAAATAGATATTGATATGATATCAGATATAGGGCATTAATTATACCTATATCAGTTAACAAACACATGTAGAATAACATAACATAAATCATAATCAGATATGAACTTAGAGGACTAAAAATCGGGAATTGATTCATGCAATAGCGATAGAACAAGGCTAAAAACCCCTGCAGATGAGCGACCACGGGAATTCTATAACCTATCAATGATAATATTGTTTATAATTATCAATGCCTTCTGAATATAGTAATTCGTACAATCGCGCCTTTTTTAAAATACGTAAGTACGCATTAATATAGGGATTTGCATAACAATATTCCTAAATATATCATAATTTATTCTTTTGTTCTACCAAGAGTCTAAATAAGAAACAAATCAAAGCATTTATTATCTTAATTACGTATTAAGTCTTCCGAGGTAAGACGGAAAAGGATTCAGACTTTATTAATGCGTATTCAAATGTTATTAAAAAGGAGTGGCCATGCTACACGCGGTTGTTAAGGTAAATGCGTAATTAAGAAAATACTTATGCTGTGTAATCATCACTATAAACCCCTTTTAGTGAATATTTGGATTGTGGTGATGAATTTGTTTTGTTTACCTTCAATGTTGCAATAAAGAACGCCTTCGCGAAAATCCTTTATTATATGCTGCATTTATGGTAACGATTCTAGAATATCCAAAGATTAATACAATTTAAATAAAACATTGGTCACTTCGCATGAATATAATCACTTATTTCCTGCTCATTTGTTTAGCATATTAATAATTGGCCAGGTTTCTTTCACATTCACGACATGGTCACAAGCTATCACAAAATTTCATGACACACTAAGTGATTGAACAAACAACATCGCATCGCAGGAAAAAACTGCAGATTATATAGCAAATGGGGACTGTGTCCTTATCATGATATTACGAAAATTCCCGTACAAAAACCCCATAAAACTTTACTTAATAAATGAAACTCTACAATTATCCCATAATATTCCGCATTGTAATACACTTCTCATGACTATTCGTCTCACTAAATATTTCCTTATTTTCCCAATTTTCCCAAACGGTGCTACGCTTGACCGGTTCACATTTTGCTAATCGGGTTCACCTTTTTAGTTAGTTTAAGGCTTAAAGGGCGTATTGACACCCACTATGCACGAGCTGGTAACTATAACAGGACTTGTGTGTTGAACCAAAGAAATTGGCATAACAAGGTTTATCCGAATAGATTTGTATGATTCAATGGCGGGGAAGATTGCACTGAATGTTTCTCGAAATGAACTTTTTGCTTGG